GTTTCTTCCAGGGCAGTTAACGCCTTGGGCAGTGGAACGGGACATCCCCTGCTCACCAGTCTGGCGTGCCTCTCTGGGGTCCCTCGTATACTAGCATCAGCCACCATTCACGAGCACCCACTATGTGTTAGACAGCGGGAGGTGTTCTACACATGCCTTGGTTCTCATCTGTGCAGTAACCATGCGAGGTGAACAGGATTTGCTCCAGCCTTGAGATGAAGAAGCCGAGGTCCAGCAGTCACAGGTTAGTGGGAGAGCTCGGAATCTGAAAACCCGAACCTGGGCCCATTGGCTGCACCCCTCTGGCGGAGGGCTAGTGGAATGGGCCACTTAATATGAATGGCTATCCCTCCTCCTTCACAATTGGCTAGGCTGGATCCAAGGGAGAATTTTGGTGGATCAGAAGAGTAAATGCATTTGCACCACTGTTGTGGGGATCTACACACTAAAGACACTGTGACAGTGACAAAGGGTTACTGGCACTTGTCTCCCCAGACTGACAGCTATCGAAATCTATTCTTGCCCTGAGCTGTTGTCCTTGAAAAATTAGTAACACACACTTACGTGACTGTTCATACAGTCCAATGGACATCTTCTATTGCCTACTTTTCTCAGCTTCTCATACAAGTTATAAAATTCTGAAGGCCCTCCATTACGCTAGGCAGGTACTGTGGCCAAACGTCCTTCTTCCTCTTTCCTCCACGTAGTGTGAGGGGTCTGGAGACAGAACGATCCTGTTTGGGCGGATGACTTAACAATGTCAGGGGCTGCTGGTGCCAGTTACTGAGGGATGGGCAGGTCCTCAGACAGGAAAAGGAGACTTGGAGGATGGGATAATGGCTAGTAGCAGGAATGCCATTTCCTCTGGGCACCTTCTCCTGTGTAGGGAGAGGAGAGTGTCCTAGATGGCTGGTGCTAGGGGGCAAAAGTTGAAATAGCCCCTACTCTAGGAGGTATGCCAGGGGTTGGTTGACCCCTGTGCATATAGCTCTCTCTCTCTCTTTTAAAAATACCTGATATATTTTGGTGAAAATATTTCCATGCCTTTTTCTGCCATTAGCTTGAGGGCTCCAGGGTAGGATCATTGCTACTCACATAACATAAGCCAGAACCGAGCACGGGATTAGCATTTAGGAAATACTGAGATGAGGACTCTAAGGAAGTCATATTCTGTAAGTTGCTCTATGTGGCTGTCTTACTCATTGAGTTTATTTCTTCGTTAAATATCCCTGAGCTTCTAGTCAAGTCACATTTAAATGTTGTATCGAGTCTCAGATGTCCTGGAGAATTAAGTAGGGAAATTAAGGTATCTATGCCAAACTGTAAAGGGGGAAACAATATCCCCCCCCCCCATCGATTTCCCTCCCCTTCTCCCAGGATAACAGAAATGATGATTAAGAGTCCCGACGGGAAGGTGAATTTCAGGGAGAACAGCTGGGGTGTTAACGACTGTCTCTTGGATATTCTCCATTTCTAGTCTTGGAAAATCTAACTTTCATTTGATTAAGGAAAGTAGCAGGTTTCTCATCGGCACTATGCCTATATTTTATGCCTATAAAAAGCAGGCAACAGCCTGCACTTTTAGGGAACATGCAATACAATAATCTGTTCTGAACTGGAGCTGACATCTGAAGCTTCTCATGGCCCTACCTGCCTGACAGTAGTGAAAACTACAAAAACCTAGAACCGAAAACATCCTGGCCTTTGTTAGGAGCACCTTCTATATTTTGCATTTTTCTAATAATAGCTACCTAAAGATACTCTGCTAGTTACATCATCATGCTGTCACTAATCCTCACAACTCTGCAAGGTAAAATATTACACTAAACCTACCTTTACAGACGAGGCAACAAACGCAAAAATTCTGTAATTTTCCCAAGCAGGAGGCCCCAAAGGTCATAAGCTTGTAAGGGCCTAAGCTGGCATCAGAACCCCTTGTTATTGCCACTTATGTCAGATGGCTTCTGATGTGACTGATATCCACTGTTTCCTCTAAGCTAATTTTCAGACTTCTTGGTCTGCGGAATTATTTTTTTTAAAGGATCAGTGATTACTTGCAGGTTCTTTTTTCTTTTTTTAATTGACTCCCATGTATGTCAGTCAAAACAGTTTGTGCATGCAATTACAGTTTTCAGAATGGGTGCTTGGAATGGAGCAATATGAAAAGAAATGGAAAAAAATCAAACCTTGGCAACTGGTTTAGTAAGAATTATACTTCTAAGCTTGCAATCCATGAGGAATTTGCAGAATTTCCTCTTCGCGAACTGAACTTCTTCCTTCCTTCATTTCCCAGGTCAGCTTAAATCCTGGCTCTTGCTTGAGGCCTCCCCTCAAATGAAAAGCTCCTTTTTCACACTATGATAATATGTATAGAGCGTCCCAGTCAGATTGCTCCCTTGATCACTTAATCAGAGTCTGCCTTACCATTTTACTGAAATGTGTCCTGAGCTTTTGGTTTTCACTACTATCAGTGTCAAGGGCACAAGGGCTAAAGGTTACACTTCTTTTTATCCCTTTTGTAGCAAGATGGTGCTGTGCACATAGAAGTTGCTCAGTAATACTTGATCCATGTATAAATAGGTGAAAAATAAGTGAATTTGGAAAAATTCAGGGAGTAAGTAGATTAGGATGGTATAGTAACAACCATTATAAAAAGTACTTTAAAGTTTATAAAATGCTTCTCAAGCAACCTCATTTGTACCTCAGAATAACCCAGACGAAACTGGCTTGGAGAGGTTAAGAAACTTACTCTTGAAACCCAGATCCCCTTCCTCCAAAGCTTGTTTTACTTCCATTATAGTTGACTCTTAATTATGAATATGAGATTAAATGTGGAGACAGTCCCCCATAAAACATCCTCACCAGCAGAGGGCGCAAGAATATGTATGGGTCTTGGAGTAATATTTGCATACCGGCCCAGCCACTATTTTTTTTTAATATAAATTTATTTATTTATTTATTTTTGGCTGCGTTGGGTCTTCGTTGCTGTGTGTGGGTTTTCTCTAGTTGCGGCGGGGGGGGCTACTCTTCGTTGCGGTGCGCAGGCTTCTCACTGTGGTGGCTTCTCTTGTTGTGGAGCACCAGTTCTAAGCCTGCCGGCTCAGTAGTCAGGGCTCACGGGTTCTAGAGCGCAGGCTCAGTAGTTGTGGCGCACCGGCTTAGTTGCACCGCGGCATGTGGGATCTTCCCGGACCAGGGCTCGCACCCGTGTCCCCTGCATTGGCAGGTGGCTTCTTAACCACTGCACCACCAGGGAAGCCCCTAGCCCAGCCACTTTAAGAGCTAGTGACCTTGGGCAAATCATTTTATTTTTCTGAGCCTCATCTGTAAACTAATGATGATAATCTCCCCTCCCCCCAGCACTGCAGAGTAGTCATCAGGATTAGAAATCTTCTGTGGCTAGAACATAGTAGGTGAACTGTAAATTGTATCTCTCCTGATCCCCGTAAGAAGATCACAGGAGCGGTTTGGAGGTTAAATCGATATTAATTCTTGTTTGATGTTTTAATAAATATTTGAAATTAGTTTGCATATTTGACCCTTACAATAGCTTAAATGGGCAAAGAAATAAATATTGATGAAAAAATTTTAATACCCAACGCTGGCAAGAGTGAGGAAACCAACTGGAACAACTTTTCTGGATAGAAAGCCTTAAAAATATGGTATGTCCTTTGCCCCCAAATCCATTTAACCTAAGAAAATAATATTGGATGGTAGCAAGATTTAGCAAAACAAAGGATGTCATCATCACTCTTTATAACAGCATAAGAGGAAACAACCTAAATATTCAATGTAGGGCACAGGCTTAATAATTATAGTTTCTCCATCAAACTGAACACCGTGCAGTCATTAAAATGATGCTATAGAAGAATATTCTAAAAGGAAGGATGATTGCAACACAGCAAGCAAAGATCGCAAGACACAAACAGCCCCCTTTAACTTTTGTTTAAAAATATACACAGGACAGAAATCAAAATTTCCATAGGAGATGCGATTGTTAGTGAAGCTTTATATTTTTCCTACTTCTCTTTGTTTACCTTATTCTTTAAATGTTCTGCAATAAACATGTATCACTTTTTTGATAAAAATAGTTTTTTCTTTTACATGTGCAGAGTTGGTGTTTTTTTTAAACACTGCCTGTCAGCACAACCAGACCAGTGGTCAAGTAAATTAAGTTAGTTGTAATAAAGTAACTTGGAAGTTTCAAGTCGTTAGTTGAAGAGAGTAATTAAAATCCTAATGAAATTACACAGCACTGGTCGCTTAGCTGCAGTAAGGCTGCTCTAAATATAGACACTGGGTTCCACTTTCTCAAAAGGCCTAAAAATGGCATAACATAAAAAATGAACAATTGTTCATGTAAAGGGCCATGTGCCATGTTTGTCCTAAACCACTGTAACCCGAACTCACCCATATCTCATCCTCCAGGCTGGCTGCATGTCTCTGGAAGGGTGTATTTGCTCTACATTACTCAATTTACTTTCTTGAACTTGAAATGGAGTGGAATTTCAATGTACAGTTACCCATTAGCTCCAAGGCTAAATTTAAACCTTTAATTAAATTAATCCCTTGATCTTAAACACATTTCTTCTCCCTCAGGAAAGTGTAGAGGGTTTCTTAGATGTCACAGAACTCAAGTCAGTGTGACAATTGTTCCTACTGCACTTGGTAAGTCACCTGAACCGCACTGGGAAATCTGCAGGCGTTTTCGGATGGCTCATGGTAACCACCCCCCACTCCAACCCCCCCAGGACAGGCGTTTGTTGGGCGTGAGGTTGGGGTACAGAATTCTGCCACCCCTCGCAGATCCAGAGCTGCAGCTTGGACAGGTACTCATCTTTACATAAGACATTGCAGGTGCCAGACGGATGTTTATGAAATAAATGACAGAAAGTAGCTGTGCATTTTGTTCCCAGTTTATATGGGAGGAAAAGAGATCATAACCCACAAAAATTTGCAAGGTGACAAGGGGAAAAGGTTGTGGGGCCATCTTAGCTTACCTTGTTCTTCATGGAAAACGGAGCACGTTTCTGGGTCGAAGTAAAAATTTATGTTGGCCTTTGCTAAGAAAGAGATGAAAAGTGACAGCACCATCAAATGGAGATGTGTCAATTAGTCTGGCCACACGTTTGATGTTCGCTCCTGGGTTCTTACGCACCCTCGGGTATGCATTTAAATCAGGGGCTGCATCCTCAGTCTGCGAATGAATGAGACACAAACTCAACGGTTAGCGACAGCTTTATGGTGGGACTGTCCACATAAGGGGTGTGTAACTATTAATAAGGATGTATTTCTCCGGGCCCAACAGCAGCGCGGGATCCAGTTAACAAGCTCGCGGGCCAAATCTCCGCGTCGCTCCAATTAATTGTCCCGCAGACCCACAACTCTCCCGGGACCACATTTTCACGCCGTGACTCATGGGGTTCTGCTCGCGCCCCCAATTCCCAGTCCAAGCGCTACGAGGAAACGTGCTACCTCCCTCACCTGGGCGCGCGCCCTGGGAGCCACCAACTCTCCCCGCAGTCGGCTCGGACTACCTGGACCGCCCGGCCGGTCCCTCGCCCCGCCACCCGCTTGGCTTTCCCTTCCTCCCCCTCTTCCTCCTCCTCCGGCCCCCCGCCTCCGGCCGCCGGCCTCCGCGGCTGCCGCCTGCGGCTTTGTTTTCCTCCCAGGTTTCATTCCCCACACGTGATACAGTGTTTTTGCAAAGAGCGCTTCGGAGCGCGAGCGCGGGGCGCGCGCACCTATAAATACGGACACCGGGGCCCGAGAGTCGGAGACCGCGGGGTCTGAGAGGGCCCGGGACCGAACCCCCAGGCTGCTGGCGGGCGGGCAGACGGCCAGCGAGCCAGCGAGCCGCGCGCGTGGGCCGGAGCGGCAGCGCCCCCCGCCCGAGCACCGAGGGGCAAGCATGGCCCGCCCGCTGGGGGGCCGGGCCGCCGCGCACGCCGCCCGCGCCCCGCGCCCTGCCCAGCCCGGGTCACCGGCGCTCGCGCCCGCCGCTTAGTACTCGGGCGCCGCTCGCTTCTCGGGGCATCGCGGAAATATCGCCGCAGACGGACACAATGGCGGCGACTGCCGCCACCACGGCCGCCACCGCCGGCAAGGCCGTCCGCAGCAGCAGCAGCAGCGCCGGCACCGTCGCCGCGGGCACCAGAAGATTGCAGCAGCCGCCACAGCAGCAGCCTCAGCCCGCGGCCGCCGCGCCGGCCCAGCCGCCGCCGCAGCCACCGCTGCCGCCGCCCGAGCCCCCCAGGAAGACGCGCATGGACCCGCGGCGCCGCCAGGCTGCCCTCTCCTTCCTCACCAACATCTCGCTGGACGGACGGCCGCCGCTGCAGGACGAGGAGTGGGCCGGCGGCGAGGAGAGCGGTGCGGCCAAGCCGGGCGCAGGCAGCGCCTGCGGCGCGAGGACGCGGCTCAGCCTGCTCGCCGCCGCCGAGCGGGGCGGTTGCGGCGCGCTCGCCGCGGCGGGCACGGCGGCGGCGTTGGCAGCTGGATCGGGCCCCTGCCATCCGCCGCCCTCGCCGCTGCCGCCCCTGGTCCCCGGCGGCCACGCGACCGTGCTCGGCCCTGGGGCGGCCCGAGGGTTCGCGAGCCCCCTGGGCGCGGGCCGGGCATCGGGGGAGCAATTGCAGCCGCCCCGGCCCGCGCCTCTCGCCGCCTGCGTTCAGCCGCAGCTGCCCGACGGGCCCGGGGGCGCCGGGCAGGAGGAGTTGGAGGAAGACGATGCCTTTACCAGCGTGCACGTGCCGGCGGCCGCCTTCTTGGGCTCCGGGACCCCCGGGAGTGGGAGCGGTAGTCGTGGCCGCCTCAACTCTTTCACTCAGGGAATCCTGCCGATCGCCTTCTCCAGGCAGACCTCGCAGAACTACTGTTCCTTGGAGCAGCCGGGCCAGGGGGTCAGCACCAGCGCCTTCGAGCAGCTGCAGAGGTCCCGGTGAGTATCCAGGACGCCACGCGCGCCTTACCTCGCGTCCCTCCCGGCCCGCTCTCTGCTGCGGGACTCGGTCGCTCCCAATTCCCGCGCCCTGCCGGATCTCTGGGCTTCTGGCGCGAATTCCAAACCACGAGGGCACGCGGAAGAGAGAAAGTCTCTAGGGAGCGTGTGTGTGTGTTCACACGTGTGTGCACGAGCCCGGCACTCACAGAGCAGCAGCACCATGCTCATGCAGTGGGTCCCGAGATAGGGCTTGCGGGAGCCCACTGAAAAGCGGCACCAAAACCTCCCACTGCAAGGAGGAGATCACGAGCTTCCAGAAATCCGGTCCGGACCCGGAGAAGCACTCTCCTTGCGCCAGGCAAGACTAGGCGGGGCGCAGAGTTGAGCCGTGGGTCCGGCCGGCGGCTAAGCGGCGCGTGTGAGCCGAACTTGTCGCAGACACGCCGTGAATCCCTCCTGAGAAGTTCTGCCTGCGCTCAAAGTATTCCAGTGTCCCAGGAGAACTTGGCATTTTCCTTTTGCTTTTCTAAGAGAAGGGAAGTCCTTATGTTCCCTTGAACCAGGCCTTGGTGGTGGGGGACAGGGAGAAAATAGGGCTTGAGGATCCTTTTTTCCATTCCAAGGTGAATTTGCTGAAATTAGTGGAAAGGTGGTTGTGTTCGCTTGCTTAAGTCATCTGCGGGTATCAAGCATCTTAGCAAAACCGTGAAATGTTGGACACTTGCTTATTCAGGAAATGGCTAGAGCTTGTCACTTATGTTCCAGGGACAGTCGGGGAGCTAGGTCTGCATCAGGCAGTGGGACTGGAGGTTGGGAGAGAACAGGAGTGGGGAGCCCCAAGGAAGTGCAGACCTGTTCCCTGGGAGGCTTGTTACTTAGGAAGGCCTCCTAAGCTCCCTATGGCACAGTTATTTTAACTTCCTGGGGCTTCAGTTTCCCCTTCTGGAATGGGACCTTGCCAACATGTTGCAGGCCTCAAGGTGAGAAGGGGGAACCTTTCCTGTTACAGCCTCTCTCCTGTAATGCTCATCTGAACACTTAGGCTTTTTCTGGCCTAAGTAAGAAGGTGGCCTGTTGGAAAACTTAACTTCCTCCCGCAGTGGACAGATGGGAGAGAACAAGGCAGGCTCCTGCAGAATTTTGTTCTGAGTCTGTTTCTTCCCAAGTGGTGAAATCCTGACCCTGCTTGGTATGTAGCATCCTAGCTGAGTGCACATGGGCTGCGGGCAGGGGTGTGGAGCGGTCGAATAGCTTTGTGACTGCATGGATGATTAGTGACGCTGGGCACAGGTGACAGCCTGGGCCTGGCACTTCTTGTCAGAGCACGCCTCTCCCCGTTATTGGGCCAGTGCACAGGAGGGGAGGGGAATCCCTTCCGTTCTGGATGAGTGGTTCGGACTCAGCAGTTTCTGGGCAGCTTGACATCACGCACTGGCTCTTAATGACTGTATAGTTTGAGCGTGAGCCCAGCTTGTCCAGCGGGTCAGGACAGGAGTTGTAATAAACATACATGTTATTCTAAGCCAGTGTGCAAGGTTGCCCTGCGTCTCGTAGTAGACAGATGTGTTCCCATGCTCAAAACATCTAGAAACCAAATAACTTCACACTTTGTCTCCAAGAATCTCATTTCAGAGGACACGGAGGATCTTGTGTGTTGATATTTCTGATCCAAAAAACAGCCAGATTTAATCTCTGAACCTATAAATATGAACCCCTTGGGTGTTTTATTGATCCCCCCCCAACACACACATTAAGATGATTAGTTGGTATAAGATGCTTCCTTAACCTGACAGCCACATTCATCTTACTACTTCGGAATTATCCATATCCAGCAACTTGACGGGCATTTAAAAAATTACATCTGCCAACAGAAATAGTGTCAAATTTAACGTGCAGAGAGGAAGTAAATGGGTAAAACAGAGATTTAAGAAAGGCCGTGAAGAGCTAGCATGGCCACTACTCATGGAGTGGCCAGGAACTTGGAATCTCCTAGGATACTTTGTTTCCTACACTGACCTGCTTGCAAGAATTTTGTCAGAAGTGTGGTGCTTTTGTGATCACTAGAGAGTACTTTCACCTGCCTAGACGAATTGTGATGTGGAGTACAGACTCATTTGAATAAGGCCCAGGCCAACTTAAAGAATGTCATTTGTTTTCCCGGTATGCCTCCCTTTAAGAAGTTCTCCTAGCCTGGTGGTTCCATATACTACTTCTCAGATGTTCTCCTGCGGTGTTGTTTTTAAATCATACTATGCTTTCCTTGGATTTGTTGCTTGCAATTTAAAGAATTCCAAACAACCTTCCTGCTCAAAAGTGAGTTCTTGGACCTTCAGAGCTCTTACAAATGCAAACCCTCAGGTCCTACTCTGGACTACTTGAGCTCAAATTTGCATTTTAACAAGATCCCCAGATGATTCACATACAAGTGAAAGTTTGGAAAGCCCTGCCGTAGTTCATTGAAATCTGCCTCTTTTTTTTTTTCATGAATTTGGGATTTCATATACCCGGTTCGTTATGGGTATATAAAAATCAGAATCTCCTGATCTGAAATCTTGAAACCCTTTCTTTTTTGCTGCTTCCATCTGGACGCTTGTAAAACTAATCACAATTATTACTTGTACTTCCAGATCTTGAAATATGACAGGAAAATTTCTGTGCCCAGACCTTGGCACAGATGTGTCCATGGATTGATGACTCCATCTCTGTGCTCTCGGCTGGATAGTTAACATTTATCCCAGTGAATCCTCACAGCCACCCTGTGTGTAGATTCTTTCTCAGACCCAGTGTTGGCCAGGACCTTTGAGATCCCAGCCTGGTGTCTTTCCTCCGCCACTGCGCGGTATCACTGTGCCTTGCATGCAGTAGGCCCCAGGAGAGTTTTGGAGCTGTTGGCTGTAAATGTTTGCCCGGGATACAGCAGGCCAGTCGTGCTGGTATGATTCTGTACTCCCTTTCCTCATCCTTACGTTTAGCCTTGCTACTTAACCAGTCTCCACTGAAGTGTATAGCGAACTTAGGACCACGGACCTCGTGCATGGGGCTCCGGGCCTGCCTGGAGTTTGTGCTGGGGTTTGCTCTATGGCTAGGTGTCAGAGCTGGGAAACCAAAAGGATGCCTTCTAGCTTGACATTCTGTTGTGTTCTCTGCCCGAGGAAGGTGTTAATAGGTGAAGGGGAGTGTACATGTATACGGTGTGTTTTAAGGCTTTCTTTCACTTTAAAAATTTCACCTCAGGTAGCAGCTGGCAGCGGGTTACTCCACTTCGTAGAGCTCCTGAATTGCAGAATGGAGCCCAGGTGAACAGACGTGCACCATCGGCCCTGATGAGAGGGGCCCACGGGGACCAGGGGATTAATTTAAAACGTGAGGGTTTTGCTTCTTAGAACACCCGTGTTAGCGTGTGCCTTGTGGAGACTCGGGTCTTCAGTGGAAAGAGAGCGTGTGGTGCAGAAGAGTCCCAAGCCTGGGGTTCGAATCGTGGTGCACAGCCTTGGGCAGTAAGTCAGCCCTTCCGGAGAGCCCCGGCCTGTGTTCCAGACCCTTTCAAGTGCAGACTGAGCTTACATTTATTATCGGGGGAGGCGACTGTGCGGGTGCTAAGTGCTGTATGTATTATGTATGTAAATGAGTTTAGAGTCACCTGGGGATCTTGAGAAAAGGCGGATTCTGATCCCGCGGGTCTGGGGGTCCCAAGTCTGCATAGTTAACTAGCTTCCTGGGAGGCAAATGGGCCGCACCTTGAAAAAGACTTTACTGGTATTATGATTGTTCCTACTCTAAGGACCAGGAAACCAGGGCTCAGAGAGATTAAGTAACCTGCTCGAGGTCACTTACCCCTTGGGGCAGAGCTCAGGCTCACACCTGACTGCTCTGGAGCTTCTAACCAGCCCTCCCTCTGCAGGGCCCCTCCTGGGGTGAGACCTGGACTGGTGCTGGGTCTGTGGTGTCCTCTTTACTGAAAAGAAAAACGTGAGCTCAACAGGGGATCGCCGCCAAGAGTAAGAGCGGGGGGATGGACTTCTCTCCCCACTTTGTCACCTCCCTGCTTTGTGACTTCAGGCAAGTCACCACACTGTGTTCCAGCTGGAAGCCACCTGACCCTTCTGGATTTTAGAAGTCAGGAAAGGACTTTGACCTCCTCTGCGGTAAGCCAACCCAAGTTATTGTTGAGCCATCTTTCCAGCAACATGCATTGTGGAAGCCAAAACTGCAGTCCCGGGCCAGGCCACGCCCTGGTCAGGATGCTCACCCATAGCTCCTGCCAGGGCCTGAGGCGAGAGCCCGAGGCTCGCCCGCTGCCCCCTTCCTTGCAGTCACCGAGTTGTCATGTCGTGGGTGAACTCAGCAGGGGAAATGCATCAGAAGCCTGCCCGCTGCTAGCCAGTGCCCAGCGAGGGCAGTGAATTCAAGTGTGACCCTTTGCCCTCCAGGAAGGGTGAGGGAAGCCACAGCCTGGCTTTGC